TTAAAGATAGAAAAGGAAGAAAAGACCAAAATGGATGTCAGAAGAGACTCTGATACTTGCCCTTGAACAAAGAGTAGTTAAAGCAAATGGAAGAAATGACAAGTTAAAAGAGCTAAACAGAAGATTTCAAAGAGCATGTAGAGAAGACAAAATCAATTATTATAATGAAATGTGCAAAGACATGGAGCTGGAAAGCCAAAAGGGAAGAACACCCTCGGCATTTCTCAAGCTGAAAGAACTGAAGAGGAAATTTAAGGCTTGAGTTGCAATACTGAAAGATTCTACATTCAATATCTATGTTGAATAATGCAGGAAACATCAAAAGATGGAAGGAATACACAGTCACTGTACCAAAAACAATTGGTCGATGTTCATCCATTTCAGGAGGTGGCATATATTCAAGAACTACTGAAATAGAACGAAAAAGTCCAAGCTGCACTGAAGAAAGTGATGAAAAACAAGGCTCCAGGAACTGATGGAATACCCACTGAGGTGTTTCAACAAATGGATACAGTTCTGGAGGTGCTTACTCAACTATGCCAGGAAATACAGAAGACAGCTACCTGGCCAACCAATTGGAAGAGCTCCATATCTGAGCCCATTCCAAAGAAAGGTGATGCCACAGAATGAAGAAATTACCAACAGTAGCATTAGTATCACACTCAAGTAAAATTTTGCTGAAGATAATTCAAAAACAGGTACAGCAGTATATAGACAGGGAACTTCCAGAGATACAAACTGGATTCGGAATAGTGTGTGGCATGAGGGATATCACTGCTGATGTCAGATGGATCTTGGCTTCTGCAAAGAACACCAGAAAGATATTTACCTGTGTTTACTGACTATGCAAAGGCATTCAACTGTGTAGGTCCTAACAGATTATAGATAACACTGAGAAGAATGGGAATTCTAAACCACTTAATTATGCTTATGACGAACCTGTACATAGACCAACAGGCTGTCGTTCAAACAGAAAAGGGATATGCTGCATGGTTTAAAATCAGGAAAGGGACACATGAAGGCTGTGTCCTTTACTTATTCGATCTGTTTGCTGAACAAATAATCTGAGAAACCAGACTATATGAAGAAGAACGTGGCATCAGAACTGGGGGAAGACTCATTAACAACC